CTGTAGACCAGGCTGGCCTCAAACTCACAAAGATCTGCCTGTCCTTGCCTGTCTTTAACACCTAGGCAGTAAATAGGGAACAGTTGGAGGCAGGAGAGTGGACAATGGCACGAAATACACAAATGTTAGTCCCCTCGTCCTGCCAACTCGCATAAACCTTGCCTGTCTCTTTTAAGACTGGCACGTGAGCCGGGTGATGGTGGCGCACATCTTTAATCCCAGCAGTCTGGAGGCAGAGGTAGGTAGATCTCCATGAGTTCGAGGCCAGCCTGGTCTAGAGAGCAAGTTCCAGGACAGGCTACCCAGAGAAGACGAAACCCTGTCTCAGGGAAAAAAAGAAAGAAAGAAAGAAAGAAAGAAAGAAAGAAAGAAAGAAAGAAAGAAAGAAAGAAAGANGAAAAAAAGAAAGAAAGAAAGAAAGAAAGAAAGAAGGAAGGAAGGAAGGAAGGAAGGAAGGAAGGAAGGAAGGAAGGAAGGAAGGAAAGAAAGAGGGAGGGGGAGAAGGAGAGAGAGAGAAAGAAAAAGAGAAAGAAAAAATGGAGGGAGGACACTTCTTAGAAACCATTCCAGCAAATTTTCTCTCCGTGTGGTCAGAGATGTGTAAGTACTCATGCTTTAACCAATCTATTGCCAGGGAAGATGAAACGGGATAGCTAGGATTAGATTATATGGAATATATGGCCTAAAATTTGTTATCCAAATGGAATCTAGGCTCCACTGAAAGGAGAAAAAGGAAAGGAAATAACTTACACTCTTTTTTTCTGCCACGGACCGTCCCTCTTGGAGACCACTATCCACGGGAGAACAGGGTGAAGGATAGGATAGCCAGGATACGACGCAAGGGAATGACAGACAGACACACTGTGTAGTGAAAATCTGCTGCAATTTTACTTCTGCAAAGCTTCAGTTTTTGTACAAAACAGATCAAAGAACTTGGCAGGCTCATTACATCACCCCACTCAGGGTTCCAGACATAAATCAAGGCTAAGCATAATCAAAATAGAGCTCCCTCTACGTGCTCCCCTCTACGTGCTCAAGATGTTGGCAAGGACTTTTAGTTTTGTTTTGTCTCTTAGAATTCTGTCTCACACCATTATTTACATTCTACCGTGGGAGACCAATTCCCAGGGTCCTGTGTTTAGCTTTCCATCTATATAGTTTTTTATTCTTTGCTCCATATCCTATGCCAATATATTAAAGCTGGTCTCATGTTTTCAATAATTTCCTTTCTTTCCTTCTTACTATAAAGACACCAGGGCTTCTGGGATCTAGCTAATCTTTCCATAAAGGGGAATTTTCTCTAACTCTCCTTTTCTCTCTAAATCTGATTCACTATGACGATTCCCTCATAACATATCAACTTTAGCCGCTTCTGTTTCATAATTAATAAAGTTTCCCAGGCTCATGTGGCGTGGGGCATACTTCAGTTCCTCAAGGACTGCTTTAATGAACGGTGGTGCCTAGCCAAGGACTTACTTTGATTTCTTGGTAAGCGGTCAGCTTTAAACATGAAAATTAAGAAATACAGAGAAAGATCATTCATGGTGTCAGGAGGGCTCGCTCTCAAGGCCATCTCCAGATATGAGATCTGCCTACGGCATCAGGTCCTATCTTGACCACTGATTGCCAGGGGACCACCTGGGGCTTCGCTCCAAGAAGCTCTAACCCCAATCCTTCAGCAGGCAAAAGCCAGCGCAGAGGCATTTTGTCACTACATGGCAGTCACTGCTGTGGACGTGGCATTTTTCTATTGGTTTGTTGTTGTTTTGGTTTCTCTGTGTAACCCTGGCTGTCCGGAAACTCCTTCAACTCTTCTTGAAATCAAGGTTTGCCTGCTTCTATCTCCAGAGTGCTGGGACTAAATGCATGGACCACCACTGCCCTGCTTCCTTTTTGTATTGTGAGAACCCAGGCCCACTGGTTTTTAATCATTTAGCTGAACTGTAATATTATAGTTACAGATTCTGCATCATTCCTACCGCCCGCAGACCTATCTTGTAAATTATTACCCATGTGACCCAAATCCAGCACAGAACATTGGTTTTAGCATGTTTGCCATTGCTGGCAGTAGGCTTGCTGTTTAAATAAAATACTATGGGATCTGAATATGAATAGCTGACCACAAACTCTGGATCCAGGCTGGTGCTCACTGAGGAGCACCTTGCCCCACTGACCAGCCTTTGGAGTGATCATGGAGGGTAAACGGACCATGAGTTGAAAAGCCAGGCAGGCTGTGCGGGATGAGAAGTTGAGAGTCTAGACCCTGTTCCACTGTATGGGCACATAAACCTAACACAGCAAATGTCAAGTTTTCTGGATCTCTTGTTGCTTATGTGTAAAACTGAGATAATAACACTGTACTGGATAGCTTTACGTCAGATTAACACAAGCTAAAGTCGTCTGAGAGGAGGGAACCTCAATTACAGTACAGGGCCTGGTTGTGCTTCCTGCAATGCCAGCCTCAGAGAGGGCGTTGACCCTTATGAGTCGAGCCTGACCCACAAAGAATGCCCTGTCTTAATGGGGAAATGCACTGGGTGTTTTTTTTTTTTTGTGTGTGTGTGTGTGTGTGTCTGTGTGTGTCAACTTGACACAAGCTCTAGAGCCTCAGCTGAGGCAATGACTTATGGAAATCCAGCTGTAAGGCATTTTGTTATTTGGTGATCAATGGGGGGAGGGCCCAGCCAATGGTGGGTGGGGCCATTCCTGGGTTGTTGGTCCTGGGTTCTATAAGGAAGCAAGCTGAGCAAACCATGGGAAGCAAGCCCCTAAGCAGGACCCCTCCATGGCCTCTGCATCAGCTCCTGTCTCCAAGATCCTGCCCTGCTTGAGTTCCTGTCCTGATTTCCTTCAGTGATGAACAGCAATGCTGAAATGTAAACCAAATAAACCCTTTCCTCCCCAACTTGTTTTTGGTCATGGTGTTTCATTGCAGCAGTAAAAAACCCTAACTAACCCAATAGACACAAGGAGCTATTACAGAATATAAGAGATAAAAAAAAATGAAAAGGTATTGAGGGAAATTAGCAAGGCAATTTAGACTGGGCTATATACACACTCTTTCTTACCAAAGCACTCAGTAGCAGGACCCCCACCTACACTGACTGCACACAAACCCTTCTCCGTACAAAGCTACCAGTCACTGACCTGTAGTTCTCTGGAAACCCATATTAACCCCTCTTCTGTGCTCAAATACATCTTGGAATATATCTTGGGACCAGGGCAGTGGGCTGGTCCAGACTGAACTCATTTTGGGTGCATGTGCTGGAATGCAAACTACATCCTGTGAGTAAACTCTTAGGAAAAATCCTTTGCTTGTGCCTAATTGGGCGTGCCTGTGATCAAATTCAGATGCATTGTGGGAAAGGATATGGGAAGTGGTTGCATCACCTAAGCCTGTCAATCAGAACAGAAAAGCACCCAACTTCGCCCCTAGTAAGCAAATCCTCCTGGACCCAGGAAAGGAAGCCACCGGGCAATGATTAGGACCCAATCTTGAGCTGCACCAGTCTCTCAGAGCCAGGCTGCTCTCTAGTGGGTATTCTTTAGCCTTGCTTTTGAATAAAACCCTTTGTTAGCCTCTTGTGTGTGCTCCTTCAGCTTGAAGACTACACTGGAAACACCCAGAATATACAGGCACTCCAGCAGATCATGAAGAAATGACAGGACTCCATAAGAAAGCTGAGCAAATGATAAATATATAGTTTAAAGGGAAAAGGCCCAAGGTCTACTGAGAATATAAAGAAAGTTACAACTTCGTTAGATATTTTGGAGGAATTGCTATTAAAGTGGTTGTCCCTTTAAGAGTTGTAAAATTAGAAAAACTGCCAATGCCAGGTGGCCGTGGGGAGTGGGAACTATTAGTTCTTCTGGTGGGAGTTTACCACACATCTATAGCTACAGAGAAAAGCACCCCAGTCCTACTGACTTACAACCGCCATTTTACTAGCTCACAATTCTGGAGGTAGGGAGTCTGGAGTGGGCTTTGCTTGACAGCCATTTTCTGCTTTGGTATCTCATGGCTTACTAAAGTGTTTGGCATCTCAGGTGAGGAGGTTAGCCTACCTGGAGCTTCTCCCACGTGTCTCTCAGCCCCATGAGGTTAACTTGGGCTTCTGCACAATGTCAGAAGGGCTCCAAGCGCAATAGTAATGGCTCCTGAGATCTGGTGCAGACCTCACACAATAGAGTTAGAAAATACTGTTACTGCTCAAAACATGTACAAGATTAAATCCAGCGCCAGGGAAAGGGAAGATAGAAAACAAGAGCCACTCTTTTCTCCCCTGGAGACCGAACCCAGGGGCCTGCAATTAAACCTTTTGATGGGATGTAATTAAACCTTATAGGCCTTTCAGTGGCCTTTACTCTAGAGAAGACATTGGTTCAGCCATTCCAAGAACAATCCTGTACGTCTCTTAAAATTAAATATATTCAGTTCTATGGCTCAGAAATTCCCTTTCCCGCAATATGCATCCCAAGTATATTCCTTTTTAGTTTCATAAGGAGAAAGATTATTTTTGTATTAGGGATTTAAGAGACAGCTGGCTAACTGTGATTTGCTGGGAGGATTATCAGAAAGGAACACACACCAAGAGCTGCGTGTGCTGGCACACACCTGTAATTCCAGCACTCCGGAAGCAGAGGCAGAAGGATCATTCAAAATTTGAAGCCAGTCTGGTCTACATAGTAATTAATTCCAGGATAGCCGGGGCTACACATTTATTTGATTATAATACCAGAAGCTCTCAGAATGATGCACCTATCAATGCTGCTCATAATAATGGCCAGTGGAAGGGTCACATATAGAACCCCCAACTCAAGACTGAGATAAGGGCTATGAGTTCAATTCCCTGTGGAGTAGAATTTATTCCCCTTCCCCAATTTCTTTTGTATCTGATTCTTGACCTTGTGATTTTTTTCCTGGACAAGAGCTTATCTCTAAAAACAAAACAAGATAAAAAATAGGGCTTGGGATATAGCTTAGTGGGCAGGGTGCTTACCAGGCATACAGGAGGGTTCAATCCTCAGCACGGGGCACGGTGCTAATGTTCCCAGCGCTCTGGAGGCAGAGATGGATCAGGAGGTCAAGGTCATTTTTGACTCTGGAGAGCAATCTAGGCTGGCCCGGGGTCTCAAAACACAAGTCGGCTGAATAAACGGAAAATATGTAAGATGCACACAAAATAATAAACTGTATAAACAAGAAACAAAAGATACATATTAAACACATTACAATTAGTGCCATTAGGTATGACTTAAAAGGAAGTGAACAGGGGAAAAAGAGATAAATAATTGAATGAATGCACCAATCAGTCACAAAGAAATCCAGCCAGACCAACTATGACATACCTGAAACTGAGAAGTGTAATTACCTGAAAGCCCTTTACTTAAGGTCCAGGAAGAAAAAGCACGACCATTGTTCCTTCATTGCCTCTGTCCCTTCCAGTGCACGTGTCCCATAAAATATTAAAGCATGGCCAACAATAGGAAGAAAAAGGAAACGAGAAGTTCTTCCATTAGCAACAGTGTACAGCACTCTGCCGAGGAACCTTGCACCGTTGGCCCCAGGACAACCATCCGTCACTTTCGTAAAGATGACCACCACTCATTCCTAACTGAGCTGACCTTCCCTCCCTACAGGACCAAAGTGCTCTCTTTCCAGGACAGCCAGCACTACACAGAGAAACAACCTCAAAAAAACAAACAACAAGAACAAAAATTAAAAAAAAAAAAAAAACACAAAAAAAGAAAGAAGAGAGAGAGAGGGAGAGGGGGGGGAGAGAGGAGTACACCCTGATAGCCTGATTTTCCCTAAGTTTGTCCAAAGAGACCCTCATTTATTGTAGCTGGGCACAAGGACACTCCACAAATGACATTGCTTTTGATCTTTCTCTGAGTCCTACCTGTTCTTAGATAATTCACTAAAATGAGGATTCTTCACCACCCACACTGGTAGTTGTGTATTTTATGCAGATTCTCTTGTTACTCTCATGGGCAAATTAGACTGTAGTTAGTGTAGGTTTCCACTGCCAAGCGAGTGACGGGATCCACACACCTGGGTCCAAACTGAAAACCACCTTTGCCCTGAGTATTTGGCTTGGGAAAGGTGGGTGGGTAGTAGCTAGAGATATTTTAATCATTTTCTTCCACAGGTATGCCATATCTTGAGATATATTTTTTGTGTATCCCCCAGATTTTTTTTTAAAAGAATGCATAGAGTTTAAAAATTAATTAATTTAATCTGGATGTGGTGGTTCATGCCTTTAATATCTGCAGTCTGGAGGCAGAGACAGGTGGATACTTGAGTTTGAGACCAACCTGGTCTAAAGAGTTCTAGTACAGCCAGAGCTATCCTGACTCCAAAAGTCTACATATAATGTGTTTATGTATGTATATTATGTACATATAATGAGTGTATGTATATATGTTTATATGTATATATATTATAGATGCAGGATATGTTGTATGTGGGGAGTATATGCCACAGACTGGACAGCTTTGTGGAATTGTTTCTCCCCTTCCACTTTTATGTGGGTTCTGGGGGGGGTGTCTAGTCTTGTGCGGCAGGTGTCTTTACCTGCTGAGTCATCCCGTGAGACTGAGAGCCATCCCGTGAGACCAAGAGCCATCCCGTGAGACTGAGAGTGAGAGTTTTTACTTAGCTTTTCAAATAACAGTCGTTTTTTGGAAAAACTAGGGGCTAGTGAATGAACAGTTTGAGTATATAGCCACTAGAGGGCATATCACACATGGTATTTAGGGTGGGGTTTACTCCCTTTCCCTCTTCAATTTTATAAAAATCAAAATGTAGATTTCAAAGTGTATCAGAAGATAAGAAGAAGAATATGAGATAAGTGGTCTTCATATAAGCGATTCAGGGAAGAGGAGGAGGAGTCCATAGGCATGGAATGAAGCGTTTTTGTTCCTTTGTTTTGTTTATGAGTCAGGTTCTCCTGTTCACACTGGCTTCAAACTCCTGTACCGGAGACTGGCCTTGAACTCCTGGTCTTCCAGCCTCCACATCCCAGGGGCTGGAATTATATAGGCACACTCCAGCAAGACTAGCCTTTTGGTAAATGTTTAAGTCAGAAGAAAGGGATGGAGGACAAGGGGAAATCCTTGAAATCTAGTCTGGGTCCTGCCTTATACAATCAAATAGATGCACAAAGCTTTTCATCAGCACAGAATGGGAGGAAAGAACTCGGGTTTGCTCTAAAGTAACAGGAGGTGCAGTCCCGGGGAAAAGTCCTGCGCTGCGGACTGAAGGCGAAGGAAGCTTGAGGGAGGACGGAAAGAGAATTCCATGCTTACATAGAAGCATCAAATTTTCAATTAGGTTTTCTTATTGGCAACATATTTATATTATAGAAACCTAAAAAGTACAAATCAGTAGACATTGAGAGGTCAACTCTCCCGCTTCCCTGCTCTACCTACAACAGTTCCCCACCTTAAAGGACAATGCCCACTAATTTCTTATATATTACAACAAAAACACGCATTTATTGACTTTTAGCTTGGGAAATCCATGACGGTTTCTTCTCCACAGAATGCCTCTGTGCTTTGTCCCCTTCTCCCATCACCTTCGCCTTTTCCAACTTAACTCTTGGTGATCTTCCTGCAGCCGACCACGGAGTGGCTCGTTGTCAGCAAGCTGCTAGCCATTAAAGGCACCGCACTTTTAAAGACTTGATGCCGTCCCACAGTTCTATTATAATTATGCTCTTGCTTAACTTCCTCTGTCTCCACCAAAGTTCCGTCAAAAAGCAAAGCTGCGATGAACACCTCTTTATGCATGTCGGTTTTCTATGCCTGTATCTGTAGGATAAACACTGACTGAATCCAAAGACGCTCACAACTGAAGTTCCTGCTGCTGCCGTCAATTCATCTCCCTCTACCACCTCCCATCCTATTTTTCTATTATTTGTTTGCTGGGTTTATACTTGATTTTTTTTTTAATTTTGTTTTGTTTTTATCTTGGTCAACATACAACATGAGCAACAACATCTCCTGGCATTTCACTTTGTGTTTTTCATTAGAGGGTCAACATCTAAAAAATACTTTATTGCTACTTTTAATTGCATGTATAAATGTGTGTTTGTATACGGGTTTGTGTAAATGAGTGCAGTACCCACTGAGGCCAGACGAGAATGTCGTAGTACCTTATTTTAAGATGTGTTACATTCATTTATGCTGTGAAATATTTGTTTTAATAATGTAAGGTGTGTCGCATTCATTTATGTTGCATTTGTTCAACTCTGTGATACTGTGTTACTTTACCTGTCTAAAACACCTGATTGGTCTGATAAAGAGCTGAACGACCAATAGCAAGGCAGGAGAAAGGATAGGCAGGGCTGGCAGGCAGAGAGAATGAATAGAAGGAAAAATCTGGGAAGAGAAGAAGAAGCAAGATCAAGGAGCAAGAAAAGAAGGCTACCACCCAGATACACAGCCAAACACAGATTTAGAAGGAAAAGAAAGGTACACAGAAATAGAGAAAAGTAAAAGCCCAGAGGTTGACTGGAGAGATGGCTCAGAGGTTAAGAGCACTGACTGCTCTTCCAGAGATCCTGAGTTCTACTTCCAGCAACCACATGGTGGCTCACAACCATCAATAATGGGATCTGATGCCCTCTTCTGGCCTGCAGGCGGAACACTGTATACATAAAAAAAAAAAAAAAAAGTCCAGAGGCGAAAGATAGACAGGACAATATCAGTTAAGAAAAGCTGGTTAGAAACAAGCCAAGCTAAGGACAGGCATTCATAGAAGCCTCCGTGTGATTTATTTGGGAGCTGGGTGGCAACAGCCCCCCCCCCAAGAGCCAAGGATACAAGGGAGTGTTAGATTCTCTGAAGCTGGAGTTATAGGCAGTTGTGAGTCACTGGATGTGGGTTCTGGGAACCGACTTAGGTCCTCTGCATAAATAGTTTCTACTTTTAATTGGTGAGTCATTATCTCTCCTATGTTTAAGGGAAAGGCTCGTGTTAATCACGGAACAAGACTGTGTAAAAGGGTACACTTCCAGGCATTATTAGCCAATTAAGACAAGAGGGGGGAAGGTACCCCGAGATGAAGGACAGGAGAATCTGAGCAGTGCCTGAACCATCCCATGAGCAAACCTTCCAATGCCACCGCTCCAGCCACCAGGCAGGCCCAGACTACGTACTGCCTTGTATTTCGGAGCCCGGCTCTTCCCAGCAAGCTGAGAAAAAGCCAATGCCACCTGGAACGCAAAGGAACAAAACGAGGCAATCATTTCCAAAATGTCCCTCAAACCCCCTGACCTTCAGCCATGCAGAGCTGATTCCTCGGGACCTTTCCCCTGCATTTTAAGATCAACTCTGTTCAACAGAAAAAAAAACCCTAGGTATATATATAGCTTCAATTGATCTAGTAGCTATTACATTAAAAAATTAGAAGCAGAGCCAGGATAGAATGGTCCCATAATTCCAGTTGTTCGTGTATTTTACTCTGTAAAATCCAATCTATAAAATAAAGAAGGAACTTATTGATTTAATACAATATATGCAAATATTATCATACAAATATTATCATTTCAACATATAGTCAATATTAAAGACCATCAGTGATTTTTTTTTCTCTTCTGAATCCTCATGATCCAGGGAGTCTATTTATACTCATTGCATCTCAAATCAGACTAGCAACACTTCAAGGATTCAGTGCCAGCATGTGTCTGGACTAGCATCATTAATATTCTCAGAACCCGACCTTTGATCTGCTCATTGATTACCCATCCCAGCAACACTGTTTGCAATTAACTAATTATTAGATATCAGCAAGGCACATGGCTCCCTACCTAGCTATATCATCAGCCCCTACAGGCTTCCTAAAAAAAAAAAAAGTTAAATCACACAGCTAAAGGGATGGTCTTTCTCATTCCCCTCGCTCTGCAAATCCAAGACCCCGTTCTCCGGTCTTTCTTCTGTGTAGGTGTGGTGGTTTGAATGAAACAGCCCCCGTAGGTCCGTAAGAAGTGGTACCATTAGGAGGTGTGGCTTTGTTGGAAGAAGTGTGTCACTGTGGGCTGGCTTTGCAGTCTCAGAAACTCCAGCCAGGCTTAGTGACTCGCTCAGTCTTTTCCTGCTGCCTGTGGATCCAGAAGCAGAGCTCTCAGCTGACTCTCCAGCACCACACCTGCCTGCATGCCACTATGCTTCCCGCCATGATGATAATGCAATAAACCTCTGAACTATAAACCAGCCCCAATTAAATATTTTCCTTTATAAGAGTTGCCACGGACATGGAGTCTCTTCACAGCAATAGAAACCCTAACTGAGACAGCAGACTAGGGACAAGAGTGGGGAAGAAAAATTCTTTGTTCATATTTTAATAGTTCTTGGATTTTAATCGCATGAACATATTACCTGCGCCTTATAGAGCAGAATTAAAAGAGATGTGTCTATGTATAATGTCTTTGATAAGATGCCTGTATAGCCTTTATAAAAAGAATTTAAGATCACAAAACCTCTGTTCTTTCTTTCCATGTTGGTGTGTAATGCATGTTCTACCCAGCAGAAACATACCCTGCTTGTAAGCAACCATTTTTCTCATTCCTGTCCCTCATCCTCAGAGGTTCCACACCAATTTCATGATAAACTTTGTTATTTTCCATGACAACGGAGTGTTCACATGCATTTTAACCAAATGTGAATAGAATCCAGATTCTTCTTCATCCTCTTTTGTTTTATTTTGTTTTTCATTTCTTCAAGACAGTGTTTCTCTGTGTAACAGTCCTGGCTGTCCTGGAACTTGCTCTGTTGATTACATTTGTTAGTCATTTGGGCAAGACACTGCTCTTGCCTAGACTTCTTGATGGTGTGCTGTATGAACTGGACATGCAGGACCCACAGAAAAATGACTGCTGAACTTACCCTAAAGGTGAGACAATCCTTCAGGGTTCCTGTTTCATGAAAGAGTCTGCAAGACATTCTGCAGGACACAGAAGAAAGTGACTGACAAACTGCCAATATAAGCAGAACTGTCTTTGAAATTTCCTGCTTCATGGAAAAGTCTGCTGGATACTATGGGTCAGTAGGCTGAAGAAGGATGCCCCAACAGTACAGAAGAACTTTGGATGACTGTCCAGGCAGTGAGATGTCTCTGTCAATTCTAGAGTTTTGGAAGTTGTTTACAGTGTACTTCCTTTTTACTCAGGCAATATTATAACCTTCTGGAGTCTTTGATGGAGTTCAAGAATAGTTAGTTATAGTTTTCCTTAGTTATGATAAAAGATAAAGTATATAAAGTACTGTAACTTTAATTCTTGCTTGATACCTGTTTTGTTATATGTAATTTTACTATGTTAAAATTAAAACCTTCCTTTTGATTTAAACAGAAAAGGGGAGATGATGTGGAATTCCCCTCTGTATGCTGTGAATACAATTGGTTAATAAAGAAACTGTCTTGAGCCTATAGCAGAGCAGGACAGAATAGAGCTAGATGGGGAAAACTAAACTGAATGCTGGGAGAAGGAAAGTGGCGTTTAGCCATGTAGTCTCCATAGACAGAAGTTTACTTGGTAAACCACATCCACGTGGCGATTCACAGATTAATGGAGATGGGTTAAATTAATATGTAAGAGTTAGCCAATAAAAAGCTAGAGCTAATAGGCCAAGCAGTGATTTAATTCATACAGTTTCTGTGTGGTTATTTCAGGAGTCTGGGCAGCCAAGAAACAAACAAACAGCCTCCATACGACACTCTGTAGACCAGACTGGCTTTAAACTCACAGAAATCTGCTTGACTCTGCCTCCCAAGTGCTGGTATTAAGGCATGTACCACCACTGCCTAGCTTCTTCCTCCAATTTTAAAAAAAAATATTATGTGCATTTACTGCCTGATCATCTTGAAGTGTCTTCCATTTCAATCAGGACATCTCTTAGAGCACCTTCATTCATACATATGCTGGCTAGTTTTATATCAACTTGACATAAGCTAGAGTCACTGGAGAGGAGGGAACCTCAATTAAGACAATACCTTCATAAGATCCAACTGTAGGGCATTTTTTCTTATTGGTGGGGGAGTGCCCAGCCCATTGTGTGTAGTACTCATCCCTGAACTGGTGGTCCTGGGATCTATAAAAAAGGCTAAGCAAGTCATGTGGTTTTGGGGGCTGTGGACCCCATGACCCTGAATTTCCTGTAAACAATTTGTTTTCCTCTGCTCTGAGCAGTCTGCAGCTGCTCTGAGAATGAGACCCTGATGGCAGAGGAGTGGGTTCTGATGAGTCTGAAGCTGGAAGATCCTGAGAGCTGGGGTGTGGCCAGAGCCCTATATAAGCTGCCCCTGAGCACAATAAAGTTGGCATTCTTGGTTCAAGGACCCTGTCCCTATCTCTCTCTCTCTCTCTCTCTCTCTCTCTCTCTCTCNCTCTCTCTCTCTCTCTCTCTCTCTCTCTCTCTCTCTCTCTCTCTCTCTCTCTCTCTCTCTCTGTGTCTGTTTAAGTCTCCAGCTTAGTTCCCAGCTTGCACACAGTCCCGAAGTGCAGGCCCTACAATGGGGAACAAGCCAGTAAGCAGCACTCTTCCATGGCCTTTGCTTCAGCTGCTGCCTCCTCCAGGTTCCTGCTTGCGTTCCTGTCCTGACTTCCTTCAGCAATAGACTATGAGGTGGAAATGTAAGCCAAATAAACTCTTTCTTCCCCAACTTGATTTAGGTTATGGTGTTTCACCATAACAATAGTAAGTAACCCTAACTAAGACGATATGGAAGCATGGTGTTCTGTGTTGCTAGTCCATAATTTAATCAGATCCTTATCAATCAAGTCTTGAGTTGTCTTTAGTGTACATTGTTCCAACCAGTGTTAGACTATAAACCTTGTACTTAGCCACTTTCAAGTATGCAAACATGTCTTCAGGATAAATCTCTCAAAGGAAAACTGCATAAGGTATAAATGAACAGCTAATTTTGATAGACATTACTAAGCTGACCAACATTAACTTACATTTTAGGAGGTTTTTATTGTTGTACAATATTCTGAAGTTCAGAAGGTAGATGGTATAGCACATGGGCCCCTTAAGATGGTAAGTCTTGATTGTCAAATTGTCAGCTCCATGAGCTCTAGAATCCCCTATGAGAGGAGGCTCTGGCATGTCTGTGGAACATTGTGTAGACCAGGTTGGTTGAGGTGGGAATACTTGCCCATTGTGGATGGCACCACTCCATGGGCTGAGGGCCCAGACTATACAAAAAGAGGAAACCCATTTGATCACAAGCACTCATGGCCTTCTGTTTCCTGGCTATAGTGTGAGCAGCTGTCTCAAGCTCCTGTTGCTGAGACTTCTTGGCCATGATGAACTAAACCTCAGAACTGTGAAGCCAAATAAATCCCTTTCTACCTTAAGTTGCTCTCATTACTGTTTGTTTGTTTTGTTTTTTATCACAGCAGTGAAAACAAGTAACTAACTGTGATGGTTTAAATGAGAATGGCCCCCATAGGCTCAATGTTTGAATGACTTATTCCCCATTTGATGGAACTGTTTGGGAAAGGTTAGGAAGTGTGATCTTGTTGTAGGATGCACGTTCCTGGGGCTGGGCTTTTAGGTTTCAAAGCTTTGTGCTTACAGATCAGGGTGTAAGCTCTCAGCTACTGCCCTGGTACCATGCCTGCCTGCCTGCCTGCTGCCGTGCTTCCTGCTGTGAAGGTCATGGATTCACCCACTGAAACTGTGAGCCCCAATAAAATTCCCCTTCTATAAGTTGCTTTTGTTATGGTGTCTCTTCACAGCAATAGACAAATAACCAAGACACTAACACACTGCTCCTACTGAGGCTTATTATTAGAATAACTGAGGTTATTCTAAATTGTTGTATAAAAACAATGATAAAATAAGCATTTATTTGTAAGATCTCTTGCGTAGGTATTTTTCCATGATCGTTGACAGAGTGAAGAGAGAGGGAGAAAAGTAGGAAGAGGGGGAGACAGTGTGGGGAATATGGTACCCAGAAAAAGATAGTGAAGCAGAAAGTGCCATAGGGCTTAGACCCACAGGAAGGTCTGAGGTTTTATTCTAGACCAAGATTATATGATTTGCTTCCCAAAGATCATCCTGCGAGCCACCTGGAAAGTGGTTGGAGGGAACTGTGGTGTGACACCTAGCATCAGAGGGAGGCCTAGCTGGAGTGAAATGAACAAACTCTTAGCAAGGGGAAGCAAATAATCACAGAAAATGCCCTGCTTCCTACAGTGGCCACCAGGGAGCACTCTGGAGAGTGATAGGAGGGGTACAGGAATCAATGAGCCAGGTAAGACAGACACAGCCTCTGCCTTCAGGGATTTAGCAAAGAGTTGTAGGTATGGATCATTGCACCATGCACGGTGTTACAAAGACTGGATGCTTTGCACATGAAACACCACTTTGTTACCAGGTCAAGGTTTTCTTTTTTCTCTCTCTTTGGCCCTCCAACCTCCCTTTCCCTCTGACAAGCCTCTTCTCTCTGATTTCTTCATTGGGAAGGGTTAGTGAGGAGCTTAAATGGGATCACTTTGAAAAACTCTGGTCCTGGCTTCCTAGTTCTTTTTTTCAGTTGCTGTACTACCCCCAACAAAAACAAGCTTAGTTCAGCGAGAGTTTTTTGGAGCATGGTTCCAGATTACAACCCATCACGGCAGGGAAGTCATGGAGACCGAAACTTAGGGAGAGGGTCACGTTGCATCCACAGTAGAGAAGCAGAGAGCAAGGAAAGCATGTTGCTACTCACTTCTCTTCCTCCACTTATCTAGTCCAGGATCCCAGGGAACGGCACCACTCACGGTGCCCTTTTCAGGGTAATCCAATCAAGATATCCCCTCCTCCCCTGCCCGAGCATGAGCAGAGGCCCATCTCCCAGGTGATTCTGTTCAGCTGATAATCAACACGAATCATCCCAACTAGATTCTGAAGAGGAGTACTGAATTATATTTGGTGAATGGGTGAGAAAAAAAAATCTCTTTCTTCCCCATTTGCCTTCTGGAATCCCTGCCAGCCTTTCCTGTCAATCATGTGGGCTCTTCTTCAGCTCTGTAATGTCATTGACAATGGAGAAAACTGGGCTCATTAAATCTGTGCAGCGGTTTGCCTGAGTCATAAGCTGGGAGGGAAGGCAAATTAATTGCTTACATATTTTTAATTTATTCTCTTTCCAAAGTCACCCTTTTAAAAGATAAAATATTTATCTCCTCCATCCTTTGATTAGCAGGGAAGTTTTAATGTATCAGGAAGAGTACTGAAGGGCGTCCATTTATCTGATTAATAGATATCAAATTATTCTGGTTCAGTTTATTGTTTTAGACCACATTTCTGTAGGGACATTAATAAATGTGATTGCTTTTGCTAGAATGTTCGTTAATCCTGTGGTTTAGCGTGTGGATAATGGAACACGCTGTTCTGCTGCCTCTTAGTGAGCTCCAACCCCCCCCCCTCCCCCCCCCCCCCGCGCCCCCCCCCCCCCCCCCCCCCCCCCCCCCGCTGGCTAGCCCAAAAGCAAAGAGATTGATCTGACAAACACACAAACACATGTGCAGCCAGAGGACCAAGACAGTTTTCAAATCTCTTTACGCTCTCAGACAACGGCACAAAGGTACGCCTGAATATAGTTTTCTTTTCTAACGGGTTTTTCTCCATCAGCCTTTTAAAAATTTAGCGAAGAAATCTGAGAGGCAGTCGCTAAAGACTGAATGGCGTCCCTCCCCGTTTTCCCAGAATGAAGCCGTAATCCTAGGTGTGCTTGAGTGTGGATATGAGGCCTAGGAGAAGTGATGGCAGTTTTCAAAAAAAATCATTAAGGTGGGTCCTTAATGCAGCTGAGTTGGTGTCCTTTAATAAGAAGAAGCATTGCCAGGGTGCTCTCTGTCTCTCTCTCCCTCTCTCACCTCCTCCCCCCCTAACTCTCTCTTTGCCTCTGCCATCAGAGATGCAGCCCTTTGCTGGCCAGGAGGAGCTCTTGCCAGGAACTGACCCTACTGGACCACGATCAGACCTCAAGAGTGGAGAAAATATAATTTCAGGAGAAGCCACCCAAGTCTGTGAGACAATGCCATGGCAGAGGAGCCAACAGGACAGCAGACTTCGGAAATTCTAGAATGCTGTTTCTGGTCAAAAAGACTGTATTTGGCTTGGAGACCTTACTTACAATCATTTGCTTATCCATTTGGGGGTTTTTGCCTTCTTTATGGATAAGAAACCCCAAGTGGACAAAACCGTATGATGACGAAAGACTGCTTTGTTGATTCAGATCACCCCACAGTTGTCAACTGACATAATTTTAGTCACAACATCACCAGGGCTTTCTAGTCAAGGACAAATCGATGTTTGACAAATAAGTGTCAAGTCAAATGTTAACTCTTATGTATACCTCGAAGGTCCTCTGCCCCCAGAGAAATCTATATAGATCAATGCATATGTATGCAGGGCTACCCCCCACCCCCCACCCCCATCCCTTATTGACAACATGAAATCAAAACCTTCTCACTCAAGGAAGCTAGCTAACTAAGCATGCACATTTGCCTACTCCTGTCCCAGAGACTGTCACTGTGTTGATATTTTTAAAGGAGAGAAATCAAATCAAATCATCAGAGAATAGGAGAGGAAGCCAGTGAAGAACAGTATAAAGCTGGAGGAGAGATAAGGAAGCAAAGATCCAGAACATATCAGGGAAGAGAAGGCAGATAAGGCCAAGAGCTGCCGGGCAACAGCGTTGACAAGGACCTCACATTCAGACTAGCACAGTGCGGCTCTCACTTTCTGTTATCACAATAAAATACCTGGCTGTTTTATAGAGAAAAGGGTATTTAGCTCACATTTTGGAAGCTGAAAGTCTGGAATTGGGAGGTGGCATTAGAGCAGCAAGGGCTTCCTTGACTGTGAGCAGTACACAGCAGGTGGGATTACGGCCAGATGGTATGCAAATGGAAGAAGTCAGCCGGTAAGACAGGAAGTCAGAGAGAATTCAGGGCTCAGGGCACTCCGCTTTGACAACTCGCTTGTGTGAGAACTATTGAGGTCCCATAGAACTACCTTAATCTCTTCCAAGGGCAGTGTCCCCCATTGCTTAATCACCTCCTATGAGCCCCCATCTTTTAAAGGCTCGCCACCTCTCAGTTCTACCTCCAATTCATGAGACATACCCCTGATTCTCTTTTGGTTTGGAGGCCAAACCATAGTGCAAGGTGCTATCTGAGAACACATTGGCTACCGTGTCATCACCCCTGCTTTATCATTTCACATTAAAATTACACATACATGTAAGTAATTCTTTTGTAGAACTACATAATATTCCATAACTTGTTCTCCCAATCCTTTGTTTAAAAAAATTTCAGATTATTTTCATTTTGGTTCCTCCCACCAATGATGTAATATACAAAAAAAAAAAAGAACACAACAAATTTCTTATATATCTATGGCCTTTATATTGACATTTTTGTTTTTGTAAGTTACATATTCAAAAGTAAAACTTCTGAGTCGAAATGCGTATATAAATTTCATTTTAACTTGCCTGCCAGCTGGAATGGCATTTCCAGGAACTGCAGTAGTAATCCCAAGGATCACCCATATCAATATTGAGTGGGGGTCACCTGTGTTCTGTCTCCATTCAATGCCTGTGCTGCTGTATTGTACTTCTCCTTTAAAACTGGTGGTTTCTTGTCTCCCTACCTTATCTCCGTGCTGAGATTCTTACAAATACTCTTCTACATTTTTTCTGTTATTTTGTTATTTCTATTTCTAATCGGCCTGGAATCTGTTTTTATTAGAGTGTGAAATAATGTAAGTAATGATGATAGCTAACATTTACTGATGAATTTCTACAAGCTAGGCACTCTGAAAAAATACTGTGTAGAAGGAGCTGCTGGCCTGCTTTCCTGCTGCCCCGCTCACGGCAGCCTGACTAGCTTATGCCCTGAAATAATTACACAGAAACTGTATTCTTTTAAACACTGCCTGGCCCATTAGTTTCAGCCTCTTATTGGATAACTCTTACATCTTACTTTAACCCATATTTAGTAATCTGTGTAGCACCACGAGGTGGTCGCTTACCAGGAAAGATTCTAGCCTACATCCATCTCAGGTCGAAGAATCATGGCGTCTGACTCACTATGCTTTCTTTCTCCCAGCATTCCATTCTGTCTACTCCACCTATCTAAATCCTACCCTATCAAAAAGCCAGGGCAGTTTCTTTATTAACCAATGAGAGTAACACATAGACAGATGACCCTCCTCCATCAATGCTGTCTAAAGTTCATATAGATAAGAAAAGTGAGTATTGTAGAACTTGAGGAATCACCCAAGCTCATGTATCTCCTAAGACTAAAAACTGAGACTTAAGCGGAATCTTACTCTGGACTATCTCCTCAAATACCCAGATGAAGAGCTAATTAATACCTATCCTTTTCCATTTAACTGGATCACACATTCCATCGTGTGAGCACGTGTGTGTGTGTGTGTGTGTGTGTGTGTGTGTGTGTGTTTGGTATTAAGGATCACGGGGCACCACACATGCTACAAGGGTGGAGCTACATTCCCAGGCCCCAAACTTCAAGCTCTCAAATGTGGTCACTTTGTCTCTGGAGTCCACTACATTACTACCACCACATTGCAGTTTTTCATTTTATACTTTCAGAGTAAGCTTTGTTTTCTCTTTGATAAGGCAAGTCCATGACAAAACAGATTAATAAATTTTGGATGTTTATTCTAGGCAAACATTCAAATCATTGGTCCAGTTCCAAAGAAAACAGGTGTGTGCGTTTTGATTTGGATTACATTAAGTGTGCCTTAATTTGTTAAGGATTGAAACTTATGTATCAGTCTCTCTCTTCAGTCACATGATACAATGTCCACTTATTTAGAGTCTTCAATAAAAGGTTAGATATTTCTCTAGCCCTTTGTACTCTTATATGAACTCCCTAAGCCATCATGTTGTGAGTAGGCTATGTTCACATATGTATCCGGAAATCACAGAGGTAAAGCTGAGGTGTGTGTTTATGAGCCAAACCTCTGTTTTTGTTCTTGTTTTGGGAACAGGGTTTCACTGTGTAGCCCAGGTTAGCCTGGAACTCATTACATAGCCCAAGTTGCCCTCAAAAATTGAAGTTCTCCAGTCTTAGATCCTGAGTGCTGGATCGTAGGCCTCTGCCACCATAGCTGGCTTCTAGATTTTGCTTTTATAAAACGTACCCTGCAAAGGCTTACTCCCTTTTCCAGTTAGATTTTTGGACAGAAAATGTTACACCTTCTTTAAAAGCCACCTGCAGCAATTGCACAACAGCGCTGAGGGCAGCGCCATCCCTCGTCCCTGGTCATCTTGACAGCGACCTTAAGTGTTCACTCAGGAAAATGGCGCTGATGGCTGTAAACCAGTTGTTGATGGCTTTCGATAGCTTCCTTGTGCTCCTAATGTGCTTAGAATTTATTATTATTAATGACTTTGGTTTGCGGCTCAATGGTAGAGCACTTACCTAGCATTTGGAATGCCTTAGGTTCATGTTCCTGAATGGGGGTTGTAGGACCACTTATTGGTTGATTTTTGTTTGTTTGTTTCATTTATCTGGTTTGGGTTAAGACAAGGTCTCACTGTGTAGGTCTGGCTGGTCTGGAACAGGTAAGTGGACTAGGCTGGCCTTGAACTTGCAACCCTCCAATCTATGCCTCTTTAGTGCTAATGTCACAAATGTCAGAGGCCTGTGCCACCACACCCAGCCAATTATTCCCTGTTTTTTTTTAAATCTAGTGTCATAATCACATAACTTTTGCCCTTAAGTTTGTTACAATATTGTGGACACTGTGATATTTCCAGTGCTGTGGAGTGCACAGCTGTGGGACATGCACTGTGTAGTCATCCAGGCACCTCGGCCATTCTGACCTTGGGAAAAGTTGAGCCTTTTTTAGTTTACTGTGAGATTCCACCATGACCTTAAAGCACACAAAAAAAAAAATATCTGCTACAAAATACACAGCACAACAATTACAGAACGCTGTTAAGAAAACACATGTAAACAATTCTAAATGAAACAAGAGAATATAATCCGGTCGTGTTAAAAACTGGCAGCAAATGATAGGCGACTATAACTCCAAGCCAGAACAAGGAAACCAAAAATATAAGCCAAGAGACTTCGCAGGGGGAAAAGACTAGATACACAAATGATATACCAAGTAAACCAGAAGCTACATACTAAAAACAACCAGTTAGGATTGCAAGTGAGAAAATCCTACTCGGGGTTTTAAGAACGTTTTTCTGCCTTCTTTGAGAATTTGTGAAACGCTGTGTTGAAAGCAACACAGCAAGTAAGAAGGGTGGAGCCCTGCACGCTGTCTGATGATTAATGCATGCAAGCCATTTATGAGAGAGAGAGAGAGAGAGAGAGAGAGAGAGAGAGAGAGAGAGAGAGAGAGAGATGCATGCTGACTCAGCAGGTCTCCTTCCTTCAGCCTGACAAGGGCACCCAAGGAATTCAAAACAATCCTGGGACTCTCAGAAAATTACTGATTAAGCTCCGTTTCTTAAGAATTCTTGTAATTAAGGATTCCTTTTCTTTGGTTCTTGCTGGCCTTCGCATCAAGGGGCACGCGACTGATGTCACACAACAGTCTTCTGGATTGTCGTTTTCAAACAGCTACACATATTGCTTGGGAATCCCTCTGGAAATGCAGAACTGAGATCTCTCATTTGTGGGAATTTTCCTATTTCTAGGAATATGTTCATTTATTTATGAATTTGACCTGTATTGTTCTTCTGTGATGTGAGGTACCAGGTACAGGGAACAGTGTGCTAAGCTGGTGCCTGCCTTTAGGAGCTTGGGGACATGGATTGTATTGCACAGAAATTGTGAGCAACCCACCATGGCTGCAATAGAGTATCACTGATAAATGAAGAACCATCCCCGTGTTTAACTGCAGAAATTGCTTTGCTTTTCAATCGCAGGCAGATTTTATGATGTTAGAGTCTCTAACTGTTCGTGCAGCCCACCTGTTTCCCCTGACACCCCTTACTGAATATTTTTCTTCTCTTACGCAGGGAGAAGCTGGATTTCTTCTCTGCCCTTTCTCTAGGGCTGAGGCCAGCATGCCTCAGCTAACCCAGCAGACATCTTTCCTCTGCCTTTAAGGTGGGCCTTGCCCCAGCCTTCATGTACACAATGGTGCGAATTCAGGGTCCCCGGCAGAGGTCCCCACACATCTGGGAATCCCTGTGGGATAAGCAGGGAAAGCCTGACAGAGAAGTGAAGAGGAACATCTAGGGTTTTGTTTTATTTTCTTAAAAAGAAATTTGTTGAAACAGGAGCCACCCACTGTTCACATAGTTCACTTTCTAATTCTATTCTTGGGAATATACAGGAAGTAAACAAATGAAAAATTTTAAGTGACCAATCATAATTCTTTGACTATCAAGCACTCCCAGGGGTGAGCCATTGTGATGGGCTGGAATGTCACAGAGACACTTACAGTGAAAATAACATGTGTGCCTCCATTGAGGCAATAGCGCCATTAAAAACAGAACATGGGATGGAATTCACACACAGGTGGTAAACGCATGAAGAGCTTTAGTTAGTTTAAAAATGACTTAGAGAGGATTTTGGATATAGCTAACGCTTTGGGAAGCAATTAGCCGTCTTTCCCTAGAAAGTCTTCACTTGAACAAAACTGACGCCCTTTTATGCAAATTAGAACAAGTGATGACTGACATCTTGATAAGCTATTCTTGCCAGACATAAAGGAAAGAACGGAGGCCACCTCCTTCGTGCTGGAGTTGTCAGTCTGTGGCTAGATCCAGCTTTTCAAGGTTCTGCGGCCTGTCACCTTGGCCCGGGTAGTTTTGTGTCAACTTGACACAAACTAGAGTCATCTTAAAGGAGGAAATCTCAATGGAGAAAATGACTCCCTAAGATCCAGCTGTAAGGTGTTTTCTTAATTAGTGATTGACAGGGGAGGGCCGAGCACATAGTGGATGGCTGTGGTGGTTTCAATGTAATTGACCCCCATAAGCTCACGGGCAGTGGCACTATTAGGAGGTGGCTTTGTTGGAGTAGACATGACCTTGTTGGAGGAAGTGTGCCACTGTGGGGGTGGCATTGAGGTCTCATACATGTTTAAGCCACGCCCAGTGTCTCAGACCACTGCTGGTGAAGATGTAGGACTCTCAGCTCCTGCTCCAGCACCATGTCTGCCTGCACACTACCATGTCCTACCATGATGACAATGGACTAAATCTCTGAAAATGTAAGTCACCCCAATTAAGTGTTTTCCTTTATAAGAGTTGCCATGGTCATTGTGTCTCTTCATAGCAACAGAAATCCTGAGACAGTGGTGCCACCCCTGGGCTGGTGGTCCTAGGCTGTTGACAGAGGTTTCTGTCCCCCCAGGTCCCACAGCCATTCAGTCCCAAAGAAACACACAGAGGTCTACATTAATCATAAACTTGTTGGCCTATTAGCTCAGGCTTCTTATTAAATCTTACATCCTACATTAACCCATAATTCTTGTCTGTGTCAGCCACGTGGATTGGTACCTTTTATCAGCGAGGAATTCTCATTCTTGCTTCCTCTGCATCTGGGTGACGACTGCTGACTCAGTCTTTCCTCTTCCCAGAATTCTCCTGTTCTGGTTGCTCTGCCTATACTTCCTGCCTGGTTGCTCCACCTATACTTCCTGTCTACTGGCCAATCAGCATTTTATTAAAGCACACAAGTGACAAATATTTACAGGGTACAAGACCATTGTCCCACAGCACCAGGTTCTACAAGAAAGCAGGCTGAGTAAAGTCTGAGAGTAAGTCAGTAAGCAGCACCCCTCCATTGCTCTGCATCAGCTCCTGCCTTCGGGTTCTGCCTGTTTGAGTTCCTGTCCTGCCTTCCTTTAGTGACAAACAGTGCAGTGGAATTGTAAGCCAAACAAACCCTTTGCTCTCTGTTTCTTTGGTCACTGTGTTTCATCACAGCAATAGTAACCCTAACTAAGACATACCTTCTGCAGCTCACACTGAGGGCAGCTGTTCAAATAAAACCTGGTTTCTTATCCCCCACCCCCACTCCAGTTGCTGCCTCCATCTCTCTTCTACAGATGTGGCCAGGATTTCTCCAGGATGCTCATCCTCCCCAAGGAGGCTGACTGCTGGTACCCAGGCAGGATGTCTGCTTTCTGAGGTCTCCTCCCAAGTGCATTCCCCCCAGA